TTCTGGGTTGAAAAAATGTCAAAAAGTGTAGTTTTTTTGACAGATAATGTTCACCAAGGTTGGTTTCTTTAGCTTGATATACAACGAAGATATAAAAGAAAAACCTTTTTTTTAAATTTTTGGAGGAGCGTAACTCTTCAGGGGAGAGATTTTTCGGAAAATATTATACCAAAGGCCTCTATTAATTTTCATCAGAGAATCGCCCCTTACATTTTTTCGGTGGTTATTTGCATACCCCCTCTATACATGTAGGTATATCTCCGCTACCGTAATAAAACACCATTCCCCATGTTGTTTAATGTCGTTTAATGGTGGTAATATTGGCCCTTGCGTCGGCTAACAGAGTGGCGGAAGAGCATCTAAAGCAGTGCCCTGTATAAGTTTCCTTGTATAGGATGAGGTAACACATTTTTCCAGTACACATACTTCACAAAAAATCTTCGACACACAGTATATCTTCATTTGGTATGGACTTGAAATCACAAAACATCTCGGAGTGTGAGTTTTCGAATCGAGAATTTTTATAATAATAATAAAATCTTTGTCGTCTATATCATCGATTGTTATCTTTAGTAGCTCATCTCTTCTTCTCAAAGCTCCACAAACACCACTTATTAGAAGGATCTGAAAAGTTGTCCAAAACTAGTTAAATCGATTGATTTATATTAATTTGAATTACCTTTTCTAGCAGAAATCTAGTATTAGGTGCTGCTTGTAAAAATCTCTCAATTTCCTCTTTCGTTAGAATTCTGGACTTTTTCAGACGGTATCCAACTGATTTGCTTTTCAAATATATATTTTGGAAATTTTCTGATATCTACATTTTCTTTTTGGCATTTTGAATACTTTTTAACATAGAATATACTGAAGTCGAAGGTTTAATTTTATTAATTTTATGTTGGAAATATGCCGGTAATATTGCTTCGGTCACTTTTTGAATTTTCCTGGAACTATACCACCCTTTGAATTCGTTGTAGACAATCTCGTACTGTTTCGATGATTTTTTGGGGATTAAATAATTGTGAAACAGCACTTTGTGTCGCTTCCAATACTTCGCCTGGTAAGTGTAATGTAAATAAATTAAACAATCTTAGAATATAAATTACAGTATATAATTCTGACACTACTTTTTCAAACAACTAATTTTTATTATTTATTAGGTTGCTATCGTTATGATAGTCACCGCACCTAAACTGTCATGATTCAAACACGGTTCAAACGATTTCAAATATAATTAGATTGTTGTATACAGGGTGGTCCGAATTTTATGCAGGAAACTTCGAGAGCAGATAGATCTCTTTAAAATAATATTTCCAACAGTCCCGTTTTAGAGTTAGAGGGTGTTGAAGTCGTTAAAAAATAGAATCGACCTCAATAAAATTTGGTATAGATAACCTATGATAGTAGACCTTGCATTCCCTAAAATATGAGCTCTAAAGGTACAACCAGTGGTGTACAACTGGGCAGGGGTCGTCTCCTTTTTTATAAAAAAAACCTACGCCACTGCATTGTTTACAAGTTATTGTAACAGATTTATATTCTAATGCATAAAATACGTAAAAAATGTAACTTGATTTTTTTCTCTAAGATTCGCCGTTTCCAAGTTTAATTCATACCAATACAATCCCCTTGTGCAGACATTTATAACCATAATATTACAAGAATATTTATGTTTATGTTTAAAAGTAAGTAGAATTTGTAAGCACATCAACAAAATTCTTTACACTCGTTTCCACACTACCTGTGAGGTAGAGTTCCTTACGCGTTTTAGTTTCTCCTGGAAGCCTAACCCACTATCTTTACAAAATAAGAACTTAAATAAAAATAATAATAAATGTACATTTACCGAAGGCGAGGGCTAGTGAATTTTCACAACCATATGGCATATTTGGTCACAAGAAAATTTTCATGAATTTCAGATAAGATTTTTTCAACATAAATTTTCTATGAACGTGTGGCTCGGAATAAATCGCAATAGAGTTTGTGGACCTTTCTTCTTGCCACCCCGTCTAAATTCCCAATTTCTAAACTTTATAGAAAACCATCTATTTGAATTATTGGAGGATGCTCCATTAAATATATGACAAAATAGCTGAATACAATGGATGGTGCTCCTGCGCATTCTGGGAGAATAATATAAGAATGGCTTAATGAAAATTATATGGGGCGATGGATAGATAGAAGACCAAATGCCACTCTCAACCATAATGGTGCAGGGGGTCCAGTGTCTTGTCCAGCCAGATTGCCATATCTAAACCCCCTGGACTTCTATGTTTGGGGTTATCTGAAAAGTAAAGTATATTCTACTCCAACAGAAACAAGACCACAATTACTGCAACGAATAGAAGTCGGGTGTAATGAATTAAAAGAAAACCACCACATGATATTAGCTTCAATTCATTCCATTAATAGATGTCAGATATGTATAGATGTGGGTTCGCATTTCGAACAATTGTTGTAAATGCGTAACGTTAATTTTGTTTCTTGTTCAGTTGCTGTTGCTTGGTAAATATATTTTTATTATTATTTTGATTTAAATTGTTCTTATTTGTAAAGAGTTTCAGGTATCCAGGAAAAACTAAAACACGCCAGGAACACTACCCCACAGGTGGTGTAGAAAGGTGTAAATCATGTTGTTGATGTGCTTACAAATTGCACTTACTTTTGAGCATAAACATAAATATTCTTGTAATATTATGGTTAGAAGTGTCTACCATACGGGGATTGTATTGATGTTAATAACTTGGGAACGGCGAATCTTAGCGAAAAAATTAAAGTTACCTTTTTACGTACATATTTTGTGCATTAGAATATAAATCAGTTACAATGACTTGTAAAAAATGCAGTGGCATAGGTTTTTTTTTTTTTGTAAAAATAGGATGACCCCTGTCCAGTTGTACACCACTGGTTGAACCTTTAAAACTCATATTTTAGGGAATGTAAGGTCTACTACCATACATTATCTGTCCCAAATTTTATTGAGATCGGTTAATAGATTCCGGAGATATATACAAAAAATCAATTTCTCAAAAACTTCAACACCCTGTATCTCTAAAACGGGGCTGTTCCAGACCAATGTTCATAAGACAAACACATACTATTTTTAAGAGATCTATCTGTTCTCGAAGTTTCCTGCATAAAACCGGACCACCCTGTATAACACAAATGTCTTATTTTATTGCAGTTTTCGAAAAAAATATTGTTTGCATCTTGAACGCGAAATGCTGCTGCGTTTTCGAATGGATATTTTGCCTCGCTAAGCTCGGAAAAATAACTTCCATTTCTAAACGCAAAAATACCATTTCGCGTTCAAAATATAAAAATAACTATTTGCATTTAGGCAACACAAGAAAAAGCTTTAGAATCATGCAAGGAATATGGTATGGAACTAGCGTATTGGACAAGGAAAATAATGCTATCATTAAGGTGGTTCAGAAACATAATTCTAGGAAGGTTATGCTAAATTTTAACTTGGTTTTAATAAAATATTATTTATTAATTATATAATAATTATATTTTACAAAGTACCTTTATTTTCCGTTAGTATTTTGCATGTATTAATTAATTCTGGACTATTTTCTGTGCCTAGCTGATAGCTATTGGGTTAGAAACAAGCAGACAAGAAATGGACATAATGGGAATTTCAACCTGTGGTTTATATAAATTGGGGCCCCAATGAACCTAATAGTGTCGCAAATAATGAATTTTGTATTATATTTTCGCGTACTGACGGTCAGTGGTACGACATAAATTGTATGTCTGATTTCTATTTCGTCTGCGAAAGTAGCAACAACTTTAAACCAAGCTTCAAAAATTGCGATTGTGATGGGTCGATTATAGTCCAAGAAGCTTGTCTCTTCGAGAAACAGATATAATGTTAAATACAAAAATAATATTAGAACCTGCAACAGTTACTAAACGGTAACTTCTAATTAATGAGAAATTATAAAATTGGAGAAAGAAGTACTGTTTTTAATTAAGTCGTTTATAAATATATTCTATACAATTTTTCCTAAAATTAGTTAGAGATATAACTCTAAAATAATTAATTACAGCAAAAAAGTTAAAACATGAATTAATACAAAAATGGACAACTAGTTTGTTAGATATACATGTTTACCTTTTCAAGATTAAACATAAACCAAATATTATTTGTTCGCCATTTTACTGTCTCAAATACATAACATTGTTTTAAGCAAATGTACTTGCTGATCAACATAAAGGAAAACTTTTAAAAATTATTTTACCACAAGCGATAGTGAAATGTAAAGTAAATGTGATTTAGAGATTAAAATGGTAAATATCTATTAAAAGTCTTATTGAAGGTTATTTATAGTTGATTTAGTATCAGAAGTACCCCTGACCTCCAATGACAGGTGACTACAGATTAGTCTAAAATTTATTATGGGTTTTATCAACTGACAACTGTAAAATAAATTATAATTATTATTATCATGGCTAAATGAATGTAAATGCGGAAAATTGTTTAAAAATTGGTAGGAAAATAATATCAAATGCCATTGTCAAATTTATTCTTTTTTTATTTAAGTAAGTAGCTCTTTAGACAACTAGCTTTTTAAGAAATTCGCTAGATAGTTAAGACTTTTTAAAATTGATCTGCACCTCAAAGGTAAGTGAGAACAGTTGATATAGTCAATCATGCCTAAAAATTAAATTGTATTTAGACTTAATAGAATAGCAAAGGTGATTATTTATTTAACCAATATTTCTTTATTATTCCAATTAATTAAGGAAATAAGTTAACACGATAAATTCAGAGATTTCGTAGAATTACGAAAATAATTTTTTTCTGGTAATACCTATTGACGGAATAACCTTTCTGAGATTAATCTTTGAGGTCAATACTGAATAGTGCATCTTATCAATAAACAAACGAAATTAATTTTTTGGACAATTTATTTATCTGTTCGTACGCATTCGCCACAAAAAAAATAATAAGCAAAGATATACGGTGTGTATATATACCAGTTGAGAGCATCGGACCAATTTATTTGTGGCATCAGAGTCGCTGAGAGTACCTGAAAACAGTTTGAGACTGCTATAGAAACAAACCTATAGTAAATATAAACGGAATTTCAAATATTTTATGCTAGAATTATACATTCTACTTCATAAAAAATAAAGATGCGTTGGGTTACTCTTATATTATTTTTCTCTATCTATTTGTGGGATTATCGTGCAACTTGCAATCTATTGGGTAAGTATAATATGTGTATTTATTATTTTTATACTGAACTGAAATATTTCCTCGAAAAATTATTTATATAATAATATATACATTAAACTAAGGAAAATGTATGAATATACAGGCTGTTACAAATTCGCTTCTCACTACAGGCATGTCGGAAACGGTAAGAGGTACGAAGTAGCTAAAATGGGGGCAAAGTTGCGTAATCAGGGGACCAACATTATGCCTCAAAAAAATCAAGGCTAACATGATTAGTTTTCGAAATATTTGAAAAAAACTGAAATTTTGGAAATAGCTATACCGCTATTGTTTTCCATTTTACAATAATATAAAGACTTTAACAAAATAAAAAATATGCAAAATTATATCCAATCGAATAATATACTCTCTAGCCTTATTATAGCTTCAATTGATGTGAAAAGTACATATATGTAATGTCGAATATTTTTACCAGTCTTCACAATAATGATTTTTTTAATTTTCAACATACAATAAAATCTTCGGTCACATATTAAATATTTATTTATAATTATTTTTAAAATATAGAAACGAATCATTCAGCCATGAACAATGTAGAACTTAACCTCTGCTAGACTGGATCAGCTGATAGCTTGCGCACGCGCAATTGATTTTGTTCCATTTGTTCCAAGGTGACATTGGGATACAATATTCGTACCATTGTGAGTCTACAGGCATACTATAAAGATTTAATTTTCAGACTAATTATGACAAAATCGGATACCGATATCTTTTTATATAACATCTGTAAGTGTAATACGTCAGTTAAAACTTACACAAATATTGCAACATCACAAAGATCTCACACATCACTGTCGTGGTATATTCTAAAGTTCTAACAAGTATCAGTTCACAATACTGTACCTAGCAACATAAAATGATTATTTTGAATATGATCCACCCATCGCAGATCTATGTAACTGCTATGCATTGTAGCTTAAGACTCACTGATTCTACGTGATTTTTTTGGTTAGTGTATCTCGAGAAATAGCCACAAAAAACCACCCTTCATTTTTTCAACTTTTTTTTCTCACTGTTTATATAGTTGAAAAACTATGAAAAAAATATGCAATATCATTCTTATCAGTAGCTTTCATATGCCTTTAGATTTATTCAAATATCTATCATAGTTTTATAGAAAAATGATTTTGAAGTTAAGGGTTGCAACCCCATTTTTTAAAAAATGAGCAAAGATAGAGCTCTGATAATTGGTCAAAAGTTATTTCTATCAACAAGCAACACACTGAAGACACCCGGTGAGACCCTTTATCTAAATTTTTTATTTAGATTTCTTTGTTTATTGGATTATTGTACACTGTAAGTGTCGTTAGACCCTGTGAATTCCATCTAGTCATTTAAACTATTACCACTACACATTAAAATAAAACATTATTAGAGTTTTATTCCCGTGTCCATAGTTATTTCTAGGCTCTCGAGTGCTCAAAATTCAAGCAAACTCCGATTTATTTTTTTTATTCAGGATATTCGTACAAATACATCAGACATGCTCGTTCACAGTTGCGGTTACAGATATAATAATTTCCGATAATATTACGCTGACCTTCATTTTTAACCTTTGCCAAAACTAAAATATTTTTGAACATTTACTGAAATTTTTTACAGAATAATATTTTGACTTTGGTTGTTCATATGCATTTTTAAGAATTAATTTGTCATAATAAAATTAAAATTGTAATAATGTTTTAATTTTGACGCAACAACTTATTGAGTTATGTATGTAAGTCATCGTAATAGTTAATAATAATAAATGTTTTATTGCAACGCGTGGTGGTAATAGTTTAAATAACTAGATGTATTTCACAGGGTCTATCGACACTTACAGTGTACGATAATCCAATAAACAAAGAAATCTAAATAAAAAATTTAGATAAATTTGGAATGAATACGAGACAAAACGTCTGAATCTGGTTCGGACTGAGGCAGTACAGTATTGTGGATCATGAAGGTTTGCAAAAAATGTAATAAAATTTCTAGGGTCGTATTTAAAAAAATGAAGTTGATGATGATCCTGGAGAGATGAAGTGTTACATATAAAAATGTATTATGTCATTCGATACAGGGCCGAAAGTGGCCATGAGAAAGTGTTGTTCTTTTTTCAATATCACCTCAATAAGGCTGAAATGAAACAAAAACGGATTTCCTAAATTTCGTTTTTTTTTTTTCAAATATTTCCAAAAACTAATCATTGATTGATTTTTTAGAGGCATAATGTTGATCCCCTGATTATGCAACTTTGCCCCCATTTAAGCTACTTCATACCTCTTACCATTTCCGAGGTCCCTGTAGTGAGAAGCGAATTTGTAACAGCCTATATATACACATTGGAAGGTCTAAAATCCTAGGGCATTCCTTTTAATTTTTTTTGTAAACAAATCTTTTCTTTGCTGAATCTTTCAAGTTGTATAGCGCATATTATCAGATATCGATAATTGTGATAGACTTCAAGACCTTCTCACGCTTATGAAGGAGTACTGCGCTGTTAATAATGTTTGCTTTAAATATTTATAATATAATTTTATATTTTTATTATTGTTTAAACGGAAATCTAGCCTGACGCAATGAGGTGTAAGATATTGGTGCAGTGTTTGATGTAAACTATTTTTTCGAATATATTCAGGTAGCCCACAGTGGATTTTATAGTTAGTAATACGTCATACTTAAGCATATTTATATCTCAATATATACATATTATGTATATGTTATATTATGTATATATTTAATCAAGTACGAGGAACAGGACAAACAATAAGCTAACCCTCACCCAAGCAGTCTGGCACCTACAAATGACGTACGCTGGAACCGCATGGGGAGACACACCTAACCCGGATGCAAGACGTCCAGAATATAGCCCTCCGTTACGCGACGAGGGCACCCTGGTTGGTCCGCAAAAGCAACATTTGCTGAGATCTGGGATTGTCGCCTGCCCTGGAAGGGATTAGGCAGTACGCGAGAAAGCTATCCTAGCCACAGCAACCAGCTGATCCGAAACGTGGTGGACTACACAGACCCGAAGAGGTTACCGGCAGATGCAAACGCCTGGACATCAATTCCTGGATCGCCAGAAGAAACGAAAACAACAACACACAAACTCCACCAAAACCTACCTCGGGTCTAGCGACCATGAAAACGGTCGCAAATTCAACTACCATTTCCCGTTCCGCGCCAGCCTAAGGGTCCCCTTAACAGTTCGTTTCCTAAGCTTCATAGCAGCACGACCTCACCCAAATGCACCACCCAAGTCGCGCATGGCGCGGGTCGCCCGCTACCGACACACAACACCCTCGGGGATTTACACAGACGAACCGGCGAAGAAAGAAGAGGGCCAAAAAAATACTATATAATAACCTCAATATTTCTACAAGAGAGGCCTATATGGCGCAGTTCCTATCACAAACCAGAAACATTAACCACGTAGAGCAGCTCCATTCGCATAAAGAAGCTTTTCACCTATCTTTCCAAGAATTCTCACGAGGCTCCGCAGACGTTACGATACCTCCAGAATCGTCAGAGACACATCCACGACCATGCAGGCAGGCGTACGATCGAGCGCTACTTTTTTCACTTAAATTTCTAAATTTCCATCGTCGAGTCACCCTGATGAGAAGATTACCCCCGAGAGTCCTCCGTTCTCTCGGATGTCGAGGACAACGTGTGACACTCTTTCCCCGAGGACACCCATGAGAGCCAAAAGCGGAAAAATTTCGCCCCGCTTTCCAAAAAGTGGCGAAAAAACCAACATCCAGATGACTTCAAATTCGCACCCTTGACAGACATGAGAGTCGGTCTTAACACAAGTTAATTTCAGACCTACCGTACCATTCAAGGGCGCGCTTTTTCCTGATCAAAAAGTACTATACCAGACCGTACAACGGATTACCTAGCGGAATCCTCCCAGCCGGTGTGCGAACACCAACCTAGGGTTCTCGCAGTTATTTAGCCAGAGAGTAGTTGCATGGCCTGCGTGTGTACTCGACAGACTATTAAGAATTCGTATCGCAACCACCGCATTGCATACCTATCTTGTATTACGATTTTTCGATAAACCATTAAATAACATTTCAAGTTATAATTTCTACAAAAAAATTACCCAAATCGGGCGCAACGCTTTCATACACAGCTTTCGGGCAACCACACTATCAAAGTTTCTAAAAACGTACCGGCAATCTACAGAGGCCGTACACAACAGTGTTTCTAACCAGTGCAAAGACAGTGATTTTCGGAGACTAGGGTATATCACTAATTGTCTTTTCTTTTAAAATTAAAAAGGCTACAATCATGAAAAATTCTGAAATTCAGTGCATTATCTCAGCACATAATACTTTTCACATTTAATATTTTAAATGTCATCATTTCATCATGTATTACTTATGATCCTCATTTGGTCAAGAAACGTGGTACCAGTTATTAAACTAGACAATATAAATTAAATTATTAAATATGTTAAAGAGCGTCCTTATTTTTTTTTTTAGAATTTTTATTTTACATTTTACTTACAGGTCTTTTTGGGTACCATCCAACGAATCCCACTTTTTCTATAACGATCATAAATAATGTAAAATATTGGGTCAGCAATTACAAGGTGAGCAAAAGAATTTATTAAATCAATTATGCTTTAAGGCATTGTATTGTATTGAATATTCAGCCCATTTTTAATGTGAATTTCAGAAAAAAATGTTCCTAACAGTTTGTTTTTAATGGAAATGGAAAAAAGTTTAATTGAATTTGCTTTACTATGCAAATTTTTGAGTTTTTAAATAAAAAGAGAATGTGTTACTGAAAAGTTACAAATAAACATAAAATCAAAAGGTACAGTTAATTTTCATATTTGTAATAAACATTCACACATTCGTGGTGAGTATACTGAAATTATATTAGTTCAGAACGCTTTCAAGGGTTTTATCTTCTTCATGAATCAAAACGATACTAACTTTTTTTTGTTGGATATCATTTTATTTGGATATATCGGAACTGTGAAAAAAATTAAAAAATGAATCGAATCAAAAGGATCAGTCAAGGGTTATTTTTTATGTAAATAGTTTTACCTAACTAAAAACCTCACACTGGAAAAAGTAGACATATAAAAAAATACCATAAATTTTCTTGAAAGTTTACAATGCTTTTCAGAAATTTTTGTCAATTGCATGCTCAAATGATGTTCAAAATAAAAAAAATTGCATTTACTGCATACCTACCTTGTGAATGCATTATATGTATGATATAGGAACTTCACAACCTGTAAATATTATAATAGACTTGGACTCGGCTACAATTTTTGCTTGGGTTGGGTCCAGGACTGTAAGCTATATGGAGGCCTCTAAAAAAAACGTTTTGATTTGATTCTAAAAAAAAAGTCACGCAGTCACCGTCTTATTGATATGACAAAGATAATAATATCATCTTTTTTCTGGAATGGGCGCAGCGCTTTCTGGGGAGGGCCGTGCACACCCCTACCCCCCTAGCTACGCCCAATGTTATCTTAAAAAGCAAGAATTTGATAAACAAAAGAAATGCGAAAATTTTGAAGAAAAAAAAATGATACCGTTAAAAGGAAATTAAAAGACACCGCAAGTTTTTCATTAAATGGTTCAGGATGTGTTTCTAATTGCTGTGTGAAATTAAGTCCTTATTAGCTACAAATATTAAAAGAAGAAATCAGTAATTATAAAATAAATACCTTATAGCTGTGGCTATGGAAACAGACAAAAGCAATCACATTTAAACCATATTTGCAGGACAAAATAAAACTGTTGAAAATAATTTTAATCGCTGAACACAAAATATAAACTATCTATACATATAGAGTGGAAGCTCTAGTACTGAGTTTGTTTAAAAGTTCCAGCGCTCCCGGTGGGTAACCAGAAACTATTTTTTATTGAGGATATTAAGTATTTTCCATTTTTAGAATACTGATATGTTAAATTAACATCAATAAAAGTTGTTCAGATTATGGTAGTAGCAAGTTGGGAGCGGCTTTAGTGGGCCCTTTTTGAATGCCCCGCCGTTGAATTACCTATCTCCTCTCTGTCTTCGACCCCCCTCGAATCTTCCTGAAGCCCTGATATTAAATATTTTCCATTTTTAGAATACTGATATGTTAAATTAACATCTATAAAAGTTGTTCAGATTTTGGTAGTAGCAAGTTGGGAGCGGCTTTAGTGGGCCCTTTTTGAATGCCCCGCCGTCGAATTACCTATCTCCTCTCTGCCTTCGACCCTCCTCGAATCTTCCTGATGCCCTGATGAAGACCAGGATTTTAATCCATGTAGGTCCCTTACCTCATCTTCTTGCAACTCTTTAGTTGACTACGCATTATTCCAAAAGATAGGGGTATCCTCGCCTTCTCCACATTTCGGACATGAAGGGTCTTCCCCAATACGTACTAAACTTAAATGCTTCTAAGTCTGCAATGGTCTGTCAAGAAACCAACCATTTGATTTAGAACTCTCCGAGCAATGCTCAGCAGCCATCTCGACTTTATTTATTACCTAATGCTAATGCTTGATAAGATCATTTATAGGGGCACCGATAATGTTACCTCGTCTGATTTCGAGGATTGGTTTAGGTCACTGGCCAGGCCCACTGGATCCAAGACGAGCCAATTGATCTGCTTTCTCGTTACCGGGGATATCCATATGATACGAAACTCAAACCAATTCTACCTCTCAACGTCTATCCAGTAACTCCAGGGTGTCGCCAAACTCCTGAACAAGGACGGACCTTGTCGTCAGGGAACTAGCCATCCTGATCGCGGCCTGACTATCCAAACAGATAAAAATCCTCTCCTTTAAACAATTCCTTACTTCTACTTACTAACCTCCATGAAAATAGCGAAAACCTAAACCTGAAAAACTGTGGTGTGTATACCCTATAAAATACTTTCCTGGATGCCACCATCATCCAGATGTTCCTGCTCATGAATCTACCACCCGAGATCCATCCAAAATATACTAAAGATCCCGGGGGAACATATCACCTTCCTACTTCCACTGCTCTCTCGAGGGGAAGGTGGTGACATACCTCCTTCCTAACCTCAGCCGATCCCCTGCTCTAGCAACCCTTATGACAGATATTGGGATCTCCCTTAGGGATTTGGCAGCGTGACTCTCGACCCGTCCTTCTGCTTTCCAACCGCCTGTGTCCCTTGTCTTTAGTTATGGCGCCATCACCTCCCTCACAATCCATGTACAGAGGGTCGGCAACTTCAGGAGGACCTCTAATGCTACCGTTGGGGTCGTCCTCATTGCACCTATTACAGTACAGTACGTATATTAATGCGAACCCAAGCAGGCAAGCCTTTGGATCCTCAATAGTTGCATGGTTACCGTCACCCGGTCCACAATCGGACATAAAACAAGGACCCATACTGTAACCTCGTTCTGACCATCGCTGTGTGTACACCCAGTGAAGCACCTTTGGATTGAGTTCCCAGTTTTTACCCACTACCTTCCTTACGAGGGTGGTCCCAGAAGTACCCGGCCTGACCTAGAGATGGCGGTAGTTGTTTGAAAAATATGACTGTATTAGAAAGTACACAATCTATAAAGCATATGTTTCAAGTTTGAAGACGCCATGTTATTTAGTATTTGTTTGACAGCCATCAATAGTGAACGTTTTCAGTGAATTTGTGAAAATGGAGCAAATTGGTCATCGTTATGTGATACAATACTTGTATTTGAAAGGCCTCAGCCCAACCCATAAAAGCTGAACTAGATTCTACTCTGGGCGAGTCTGCTCCTTCGTTTACAACAGTAAAATATTGGGTAGCAGAGTTTAAACGAGGCTGTACGAGCTTCCAAGATGAGAATCGCAGTGGTTGACCAAATGAGGTGACAACTCCAGAAATGGTGAAGAAAATCCACAAAGCATTACTGGATGATCGTCAACTGAAAGTGCGCGAGCTAGCAGACATAGTAGGCTTTTCAAAAAGTGCGGTACATCGCATATTATCTACAAATTTGGACATGAGAAACCTGTGTGCAAGATGGGTGCCGCGTTTGCTCACACTCGACCAAAAACAGTGTCGTGAAGATGTTTCAATTGAGTGTTTAGCGAAGTTTCACCGCAACAATGCAGAATTTTTGCGCCGTTTCGTAACCATGGATGAAACATGGGTCCATCACTTCACACCCGAAATAAAAGAACAATCAAAACAATGGACTGAAAAGGGAGAACCGGCTCCAAAGAAGGCGAAGACCGTTCCATCTGCAGGCAAGGTCATGGCGTCGGTTTTTTGGGATGTGCGTGGGATAATTTTCATTGATTATCTTGAAAAAGGAAAAACTATCAACGGCGAGTATTATGCAAACTTATTGCATCAGAAGCGAAAAAAACAAGCAAAAACGGCCTCATTTGGCTAAGAAGAAAGTGTTGTTTCATCAAGACAATGACCAATTTTCTCCATTTTCACACTATTTCACTATTGATGGCTGTCAAACAAATACTAAATAACATGGCGTCTTCAAACTTGAAACATATGCTTTATAGATTATGTACTCTCTAATACAGTGATATTTTTCAAACAACTACCGCCATCTCTAGGTCAGGCCGGGTACTTCTGGGACCACCCTCGTATTTGCAAGAGGGTTGCCACTGATTTCCCGATAATCTTTTCAACTTGTGATCCCCAAAACAATTTCCTGTCCAGGATTACCCCAAGTATTTGACTTCTCCAACCTAGGTTAGGGTCTTCTCTATAAATGGAGCCCTGAGTTCATCTATTTTCCTCCTCGTTGTGTAAATTATATGTTAAGAAATAATAATAACGGAATATTTATAAAATTATTTATTTATAAACAAGAACTTAACGTACTCGTAGTACGTACGTGATTGAATATAATATTGGGGCAACATCATTTCATTTTTAACTCGAATATGAAAAATTCTTGATTCTATATAGAAAATTCTGCTCTGCACAATTCATTCTTCAAGACTAACTCCCTATTTTAAATTTAATTAGACCTGTCAGAAATAGAACGTCGTAATAGTTATTTATGGTAATAGTGTGTTACGGTATATATGTCACGCTGGGAAATGTTTAGGGCTAATTTTCCCAAGTGACATATGACGTAACACACGAGTGACATACAAAATNCACTGGGAAATGTTTTCCCAGTTAATTTTCCCAAGTGACTTATATGACGTAACACACGAGTGCCATACAAAATTTTATCCAACACTTTCATAGAATTTCGTTCTAATAATAAATAAAAATAACTTAAAATTTCAAGTTGTCAATGTCAGAAAGTGTCAACCTAAATTGTGTCTGTAACCAAGGGTTTCATAACTCACTAGTGACTTATGACTTATAACTCACTAGTGAGTTATAGGCCACATTATTCCTTGAAAACCAAAGAAATTATAGTATTATATTACAAGTGTCGGATAAATAATATTTAAATTTATAATTAAATCGTCGCTAAGATACAATATTTTAAATCTCAGTAAGTACACATTTGTACACAGGGTGTTCCGATTAAAACTTCCCACCTGAAACATATCGAAATTAAAAAAAAACAGAAAATACTTAGACACGTCGATTTTCTTTTCAAGGGGGACACGCGATAGTGTAAGTTTTGGTGTCTTGGAAGTTACACCTTAGGCAGGGGTGTAAAATATCTTTATACTTTAAATGGCACCCTATGTTGAGTGACACATCATTTTAAAGCTTTTTCAATTTTGCTCACGACGACATACGACTTTTTAAATTTTGGTTTGGATATGACAATAAAATCACTTAAAGAATAGGACAAAATATCAATGAATGAAAGAATGTTATTTTATTAAATGTTCAAAATGTTCCCTCCGCTTCCATATAGCAATAAAATCTTTGTTCCACTTCTAAAATACGTTTCAAATTATGTTACACAAATTTGATATTTTTTTATGTTATTCAAATCGTCATAAACAATAATTCCATATTGACATTATTAATTGATATAAAATAGTATAATCTAAAGTGTTTTTATTTTATATCTAACCAATCTTACATAAATTTATTTATTTATTTTTATTTTACAAAAAAAAATATAAAGTTGGTTGTATTACTGGTTGCAAATATTTTAATATTATTACTCTAAAACTAATTTCCACAATAACAACTTATTGTAAATGAAAACCAAGACTTGACAGTTCCTGTCATAAAGTTTTTTTACACAAACCTGTCCGTAAATTGTCTTTATTCCCACATATTAATTGCTGCAGCTGGTTTTCAGTCCTGCACCGATCACGAAAAAGAGGTATTTTGCATACACTAAGGCTTTCTTCGCGAGCCGCGCAGCGGTGAGCGGTGGGGCCCCAGGAGTCTCGCCGTCCTTCCTTTATCCGTTTGGCATATTTTGAAGGCGATTTCTTAATGTCTTCTGAGTGAAATTTCACTTTTTCCGGGGACTCCGCGGCCAAAAACGCAAATTTTCGCTGTGGGAGAGAGACAGAACCCGACGGGAACGCCCACCGACGGACGTTTTGAGGGTCGATTTAAAATACTAATGGCTTTTTTCCAAGGACCGATCGGGGGTTCGCTCAGCTTTTACACGCGAGTTTCGTTCTTTCTTCGTAGCTTAGGCGTATTTTTGCAGCGTATTTTTTACTTTTGAACGCCGAAATTTGCTTTTTAAAAAGGTTCTGCACCTTGCATCTCTCTCGCGAAACCCCAATATTTCCGTAAAGCCCGGATTATTTCGCTCAAAACGCAATTTTCTGCGCCATATTTTTCTTTCTTGATACTGCCGGCACCCGCGCTTTGTTCCGAACTTTTCTCTTTGCGTACAGGCCGCTCCCGCGACCCGACGATGTCCTCTATACGCTACCGGGACGCCTTTCCGGTGTAGCGTCGCATTGTTCTCTCTCATCTATATCGACCTCAACTTTTATTAGGTCAAACGTAACGAAATTTAAGACGAGATTAAGAATATTTTGACACAAACTATCACTGCGATAGAAACGTCAGAATTGTGAAAACTGAATTTTCCGATTCCGACGTTCCCTGCGGCTCCAGTACGACGATGAGAGATTATTTTTATGGTTTATACCGTTCCGAATCCTTCGCGGACGATTTTATGGTAGAAAAATGCAATTTTTAACATTACGAAAATGTTTGTCTACTTCGGCTATGAACGAAAATTCAAATACCGATACGAACAAACTCTGTATAGAGGCAATAATTGCTTAACGGTAGAAATGTCGCGTTGCAACCCGGAGGTCGACGGTTCGAATCACGCACGGGATCCCTGAGAATTTTTTTTACTTATTGTCGTATTTTCCTTTCATTTTAAATCTTTCCATAAGAAAAATATATAACTTTTCAAATACCTAGGTTTTTATACACAGGATGTCTAAAAATATTGCGTTGGACTTCGAACGGTACAGAGATAATTATAAAGTTGCGATGTTGATGATTTTCATATACAGGGTGTTTAAAAACTGAAGTACAGGGTGTTTCAAAAAATGTTATATTTACCAACCGGCGAGGAAAGCACCGCACTTATGTCGAGCGTAGCGCAGCCCGAGGGCCGAACGCCGAGAGAAAGGTCAACTCCGCGCAGCGGATTTTGCCGACCTTTCTAGTATTATTTATAAATTACTTGTTTTGTTTTAAACAAAAAATTATTCAGGTAAGTCTTTACTTCCAATCTTTCCTATCCGTAATATTTATTCTATTTTAGTTTTAATATGCATAAATCTGTCAATTCTATCATTGAATTCTACACTGTATTCCTTTAATTTACTTTGATTCTAAATTCATCAATTTTCGAATTTTCTTTCACCTTCCTCTTTTTTTTATGTAACTAATTTCAACTGCTCCTTTCTTTTGTTTTTCTCCTGATCCTAGTTATCCTTTAAGATTCCTACACACACTTTCACATTTTTAAAACGTTCTCTTGCTTTCTTTTATTTCACTTAAGGGCCCCATATTCTTTAAATAGTGTTTTCCGCAAAGACAAATAATTTCAAACATTTAATAACTGAATAATCTAAAGCTTATCAAATAATAGGAATGATATGTCATGCCATCTGAGTATTTTCAAAGACGCCCCAGTAAAACGAATAAACAGGTGCAAAAAACGATAAAACCATCAAGGTTTTAGGTACCGAAATCTTCGAAAATACAAACTTTTTTATATATAACTCCACATGTAAATATTTTTGTAACATTTACTTGCTTAGTCCTACATATAAAATTGTTTACTTTTATTTATAAGTACGTGAAAATAATTCTTAAAGTGTGGGGTTAGGATAACATAAAACGCATGTTTTATAAACGCTTTTTTTAGTTATTATTTTATTTGGGTAAATTTGAATGGTAACAATGAATAAACAAAACATCAAGGATTTTATTTTTGTGCTTACTTTTATTCTACACGTTTTACTTTTCAAGATTTCAGTACCTAAAAATGCCAGAAATTTCACCATTTCCAGCCAGGGATATGGCCACCTTAACCTATTTCCACTCTCTTATATACTATGAATAATTTTTTATATTCTAATTACAAAAATTTGTATTGTTTTCCAGAACTATTGTTTATATTTTTTTTAATATTACTTTATCTTTCTATCATCTTAATTTCAAACCTGTGTATCGACTTTTATGTTGTCATCATTTGACATTGATTAGTTTTGAATCCAAATATTTAAAATTCAAATTGTGGTTTATCCTAATATAATGATGCGTATTTTTAGTTATGTATTTGTCTACTTTTTCCAGTGTAGTCTTTGGTAAAGCAAAGTTATTTTCATGAAAATAATCCCTGACTGATCGTTTTGGAACAATTATTTCCCAATAAAAAAGAAAATGTAAAATAGCTTTATATATTTTACGATGTAACTAAAGAAAATTACTTAAATAAAGCAAAAGAAAAATAATGAAAACAGAAATGAAATGAAATGTGCATAAAAATTTAACAGAGAAAATACTTTTCCATATTCCTCACCGGAAACATAAAGAAACAATTAGTCGAACTATTTCACATAAACATGTATACAAACTTTTGTAGCAACCAAAGCCGCTGTATTTTTGAGAAATGTAAATGATTTTTCTGTAGGAATTTTAAGTTAATTAAAGGTTATTTATTAATAGAACTTGGTTTGTAAATTAACACCATACATGGTGCATGTACCTTTAAATCACTAAACCTAGAATAGAGTTGATGACACTTCTATCTCAGTAATCCTGTTCCTAGATATATTGTTACACTTGGTGCTTTTAGGCAACTCAAGAACAAGCTTCTGAGTATTGCAAAATGTATGGAATGAAACTAGTTAGCATATTGGATCAGGAAAAAAGCAACGACGTCACTTATTTGATTAGAAGGGATCCACATAACAGTAAGTTGATAACAGACTGACTTTTATGCTGTTATTTTCAGCTCCATTGAAAAACTTATCTTTTGAGACATATCGTTTAGATTGGTTACATTGTTTAGATTGTGATAGATTGATGTACTGTTTTTAGAAACAATGTTTTATACTCTGTCAATTCCGTTTGCATTAAAATTGTTAAATAAACAAAATTTAATATTGTAATGGCACTGTTTCCTTTAAAAGCACATTTTTGCTAACAAACGATTGCTCCTAATTTCGTTTTTATCAGTGGAGTTGAAAATAAATTTTAAACAATTTTTTTATGCATTCACAAATTTAAATGCCTTTTTCTTGAAAACGGTTGGCTTTAGAGATATTAGCACGGTATACTTTTTTAAGCAGAAAAGTTTTTCCAGCCCAAAGTGAAATACACCGTGGCACAAAACACTTTTGACAGTTTAGATGCGTCCTAACGGTCGCTTGTGGCGCCCTCTAGAAGACACAACGAAATCGTCGATAAATTCGAATTTCTCATCCCAAAAAAACGCCGATGCGAAATTTCACGAAATTAGCTCGAAGTGGTCGAAAGATTTTGAAGAAAATGTTATTTATTTTTTCAACTTTTATACCCTGTGGTTTAAGTTATTATCAATTTTTGGACTAAGGCAAGTTTAGTTAAATCGACTTATTTCCAGCCGTACTGGTGGAGCATAGTACAGACCATTTAGAGACACGATAAACGGGAAATGTAGATATAATTTAAATGACTTGTTATTTCTATGTGAATCATTACCCGCCAACGGCAACAACTGAAACCTAGAACAGTGTAAAACTCCGTTCAAAGACAAATATCTATTGCAACTGAATACTTTTAACACATGCCATTCACTTATCTACCTGTAAATAATTTCAATTTTATTTTACTTCAAAAATTTTACCAAATTAATTCTAATGTAAAATTAGATAACTTAGGTGGTAGATAGTTACACTTATGTATCTTTCTGGAAACAACAGTAGTTTAATTTTGGTTTTTATTTCAGCTTTCCACAAAGTCTCATAAACCACCAGTCTTTTCACTTCCTGAAAAATTAATAACCCAATTAAATCTATATCTGTCTCATAAAATACATATGTGAAAAAAGTGACAGACATAGATTTAATTATCACTTATAATACTACTAGAGCTTCAATTATTACTGGAAATTTTTTCGAGCACACGAATATTTTGAAAATTTTCCCGGGTCGAAGAGAAGGGAGAATTTTCTAAAAAATATTCTTGTGCAAGAAAAAATTTCCAGTTTTTAATTGAAGCTAGAGTGGTATTCGGTAAGAAAATTTCACAATGAAGTGTTAAAAAATATCGACAAAAATATAAAGATATTAAAATTGTTTGATTGTTTTGAAGAGACAGTAGGCTTTGTATGTTAATTCAAAAAGGATAACAAATGTCATTTTATATGCACGGTGTCATTGTGAAAAGTTTAGTTTTTTTACGAAAAATGTCTCGTTTTGGAGAAGAAAACCAGGACATAATAAAAAAAGAAATTCAACATCTGATGCCAGATAATACCAAAAAATCAAAGATAAGCATTTGGAAGCAGTTTCTAGAATTTTGCAATGAAAAATCTTATAATATACAGGGAAAGCTACCTGTTGAAGAACTGGCAAGTATTCTAGAAGATTATTCATTTAATATGAGAAAAAAAAATCAGAGGAGTACAAAGAAAGTGTTGTAAAAGTAATGTGGAATTCAACTGCCAAACAACTACAGGAGATGTATTACGAAGAATTTAAAGTTAAATTTGATTCATTTTCTGACATAACCTTTAAAAATGCAAGAGCAGCACGTGATGCTAAACGTAGAAAACTACAAAAAGATCCAACAAAACGAAAGCTTAGTGCCTTGGCCTTAAGTGATGCTGAATATATGAAGATTGTAGAACTCTGGGATGAAGATTGTCCAGAAGGTCTTCAGCGAAAGTTTTTTCATATTGCTTCCCATGAGTTAGCCTGGAGGGGCGGAGAAGGTGCAGTAGCAAATATTGAATACTTTGTTGAAGAAACTGATAATTTCGGCAAATTTACTGGTTGCATAGAGTATAATCCCATTTTTTCGAAGACAACACAAGGCGGTTCAAGAAAGTTAGCTGATAGCAAGTGGCTAATCACAAACATAAATAATCCAACCATATGTCCTGTTCGTCTTTTTAGGAAGATGATGGAAAAACGAGGTAACTCTATAGAGACCAATCGTTTGTTTTTAACTCCTAATCCGTTTTGGGATCAAAGGAATTCAAAGGGATGGTACAAGAATTGTCCAGTGGGGAAGAACACGATTTTCACATGGTTTAAATCGGCTGCACAGAAAATTGGTGTTGACACAAAAAAAGTGAAAATTACGAATCATTCAGCGAGAGCAACTGCAGTATCCAATTTGGCGAAAAAAGGAATTGGGGAACAGCAGTTGATCAAAATTACAGGCCACAGTAGCAGTCAATCGATAAAACCTTATTTACAGATTGATGAAGGACATCATAAAGAAATTGTTGAAGCTATGCGGTGTAATTCAAAAGGCAGCTGTACCAATGTTTCAGTATCAAAAATGATGCAATCACATGCAAATCAATCATCAGTTATAACTTATAATAACTGTACATTTAATGTTACAAATAATAATTATAGTAGTACTGATCAAAATAACAGTAATAATAATTAATATTGTTCTTTAGTGCGTAATATACCTATTTTAAACAGGTGATACAATTATTTTCTTTACATTTATGAAAATAAGGTATTTAGATATCAATCTCGACGGTCATATTTCTAAATTTGTTCTAAATTTCTATTCTAACATCAGTTAAGATTATGTTAAATAATACACAAACTACCAAATTTGGTTGTGCAAAATAAGTATAAGGCAGTTGGTGGTAGTTCAAATCTTATTATAATATATGATCAATTATTCTTGATCAACTTCATTCCACTAACGTTGGTGGAAATATAATTTCTTACAAGGAACTCGAAACAAAATACAATTAAACGACTTTAGTTACACAAAATAACAAACAATTAGTCAATAATAGGTCAATCTTTCCGTTTTCTACAAATTAATTTTACTAAAGTTGGTAGAAACATATTTTCTTACAAGAAACTCGAACCTAGTATCGATGAAATTCACATACATTATATAAGGTTTAATAAAATGCAATTACACGACATTAATTAAACAAAATAATAAAATATAAGTCGGTGGTAGCTTTGCCTCTCAGTTTCCTAGAAACTCATTTTACTAAAGTTGGTAGAAAATTATTTTCTTACAAAAAACCTTAAGCAGTATGTAGTATCAATGAAATTCACATGCATATATTATTAGGTTAAATTTAATAAAATATAAGTAGCGAACTTTAGTTATACAAAATAATAAAAGATAAGTTGATCGTAGTTCAATCTTTCAGTTTTCTATAAATTTAGTGTACTAAAGTTGGTAAAAATATATTTTCTTACAAAGAACCTCAAGTACTATGTAATGATAATACAATTCATATGCTTATATTATTAAGTTAAATTAGATATATGTAAGTAACGAACTTTAGTTACACATAATAATAAAATACAAATCGATAGTAGTTCAGATACTCAGTTTTCTAAAAATTCATTTTACTAAAGTAGGTTGAAATAATATTTTCTTACAAAGAAATTGAAGCACTATGTTGTATCAATGAAACTCACATGCATATTTTATTAAGTTAAATAAAGTATAAGTGGTGAACTTTAGTTACACAAAATAATAAAAAATAAGTTGATAGTAGTTCAATCTTTCAGTTTTCTAAAAATTTAGTGTACTAAAGTTGGTAAAAATATATTTTATTGCAAAAAAACTTGAAGCAGTATATATAATCAAAGTAACTTACATACATATAACATTAGGTTAAATAAAATACAACTAACCGACTTTAGTTAAGCAAAATAATAAAAAATAAGTCGATAGTAGATCAATCCCTCAGTTTTCCACATACTCATTTTACTAAAGTTGGTAGAAATATATTTTCTTACAAAGAACCTTAAGCACTATCAATAAAATTCATATGTATATATTATTAAGAAGGCCATGGAATCCATGTCAAACAAGGTAATCGTGACTTTTGACGTTATTTGACCATTTTCTTTAAAATCGTTGCGTTGTACAATTGAAAAATGGAGCGGTTTGAGAAATACGTTTTATGCAAGTTTTGTAAAAAAGTTAGTGAAATTAAAATGTATCATCGGAACCTAAAATTTTTAATGTATTTATTACAAGAATGCGGGCCAGAAATTTATTCGCCAAACTTGTTTGGGATTATTAAAAATCATTTGCTTCTTGTGTGTAAGAAATATGGAGCTCTTCGTGGATCACAGCAGAATAAGATTGTTTCAAACTACTACATTTATTTTTTGAAACATAGACATTTTATAAATTTTAGTGAATGTGTGCTTGTTTATTCTCCATTAAGAAAAGAAGACGTGGCTGAGGAATTTCAGCAACATTTGGACGCTTTAATTAAAACTACTAAAAATACATACTTGGTAAATAATTATTTATAAATGATTTGTACTTATTAAATTATGATAGAATAAATTTGAAGTTAAATATAAATGTCATTTTATTTATAAATGTCAAAAAATTTCCAATGTAATTTCATGCTCCTTACCCCAAGAAAGAGAAAAATTTTCGGAAATTTTCTTAGTTGCTATAGTAACGCTACAAAATACAGGCCTTTAATTGGCTGAAAAATACTATTGTGAAATTTTCAGTTAAATTTACTCAATAGATGAAAAGATCGGCCTATAGACAATTTTAGTTAAAGTTATAAAATGTAGTTACGCAGTAATAGGGGTTGCGGTAGTCGAAGTGTGAAAGGCGCGGTTCAAGAATTGAACTGGGTTAATTTAGATAGTCATCTGTTGAAAGACCTACCTCCAAAAGAAAAAAAAACTCAAAATCATTCAGTATTATTATCTTCGTATTCGTACGAATTCTCAAAGGCATTTATACAGAGTGTCACCTAAGGAATGTTACATACTTCTAGATCTAGAACCCAAAAGGTGTCGATTTGGCGAAACTTGCTTAAACAAAAAATGCTGCAAAAAATATACAAGGTGTTAAAATTTCTTTTTTATTTCTTGTTTTCTCCTTAACTCAGAACCCAGTTAACCGATTGGAGCAAAATTTGCTGTTGCTTAGTTTCTCTTCATGAAGTATGCAGTGAGTATGTTCCTATTAGGTTAAATCATACAGGGCGTTCAGTATACTACAACCCTCTGTGAATATACGTGTTTTTTATTTGATTTAAACGTAATTTTACTCGAAATTCATAAAGGATATCAAAATTTTGTAATAGGTGAAAAATCTTCTAAAATAGTGCTTATTTTTTAAAATATAAATTCTGTCGTCATTGGCGCATACACAAAAAAAGTTACGGGATAGCCAGTGGCGTACAGGCACTAGAAAGAACATCCTGTGTATGTATTATCACCAAATTCTTTATTTACTTTGCCTTTATATAAAAAAAATATGTTGTACCAAATTTGAAGTTTTTAAGAAAAATAGTTTTCAAATTATTTGAAAAAAACTAGGTTATCTATTCAACATTTAGAAGGCTATATCTCAGTAGGAGTGCATTTTTGTATATAGGTAAGTTCGGCTAAATAGTCTTATTTTCTTTCAAGGAACCTGTGATCAAGCGTTGTCCATCCTTTTCAGGGACGCCCTGTATAACTGGAGAAATCGTTCGCAAAATGTTAATCTCAGCGGGCAGTCTGGTTGAAGTAAATTTTGTACAGGGTGAAAATGGAAACATTGTAACTGCTGCGTGTAGGTGAAACGGTTTTGCAGCCAACTCTTGTGACTGCTGACAAATGACAAATACTAATTTTGGGATTTTCTTCTACTCTTTCTAGAATTTGTTCTTCATCTTGTACCCTTCTTTGAACATATTTTCCGTTTCGTGAATTAGACCGAAAGTTTCCAGTTTCTCTTTATCTGGAGAATAAAGAAGCAATCAATGTCTGCGATTCGGATGAAGTTCTTCATATTATGTTCTCTTAGCAGCTGTCCACTAAAATGTTCCTGTACGTAATATACCACTATCATGTCTCTTATTTCATAATTCTGAAATTCATTGTAACGAGGCATTTTCAGAAACAAACTTTTGCAAAACACATGTTGTTATGGATACGTAGTTATTTCCAAAGAATTAGAGCAAATTTTGCTTAAATCGGTTAACTGAGTTTTGGAGTTTGGTTAAATCGACACCATTTGGGTTCCTAAAGTATGTAACATTCGTTATGTGACACCCTCTATTTGATTCATTGGAATAATTAGTTTGATTTTCACTGGTAAACATATATTAATAAATAATTTAATATTACTGTTTAATATTTTGAATGCAAATAATTTTTATTTATAATATTCCTATCACGCATTTACACTTCCATCTTAAACACATTGTCTTATTGCCCCAAAAGGGCATACCTGTAAATCCTAATAACGGTATCGAAACTGGAAATACTATAATATTCATTTTGAGCTTAATTGAATATGATTTTGTAATATTATTTATAGAGAATTTTTTTAGTTTTCGAAAAATACTTCTGGACATCCGGAAAAAGACAAGCCAACAACGTCTGGACCTGGGGAGATAATCAACCCATGATTTATACCAACTGGATACCTCTACATGAAGGTATCAATCTATTCTGGTCTCCACGTTGTATGTATTTGAAGTTCAATGGTAAATGGAAGAATATCTGGACATGCAATACCAGACTTTTCTTTATTTGTGAACAGCCCTACATAGAGAGCTTTGAATCAAAACCTGTTACAACTGTAAACGTAGACGTCAGCAATCATCAGATGACTCCCGTCACTTACACAACGTCGACTGATCCTTCCCTTTCGATTGAACCCCGCTTTGATAATATACAAGCCATTTGAATTAAATAAATAATATCTTGTGAATGTTTTCGAATCTTCAAATAAACTGGAAAGCTAGAACAGATAAGTTTTTCTATTGCTTCCATTCATCGTAACTATAAATTGAAAACAAAAAGGATAATAATAATACCCTTGAAACTCAGCAAGTTAAAGTCGAGGAGTGTTGGACATAACCGAACCCCGAACACTGTTATACCGGATAAAAGGTTCCACTACCTTTAAAAAGCGCAAATTTAACCGCGCACATTTCTTTTCTTTTGAAATCTAGGACCAAACAATATGTTTTGACTAGAAAAGTTTAACTCTTGGAAGATACATCCAATCACAATAATACAAAATTAAATCGTGTTTATATATATATTGCCAAAGCGTTAGACGACTGTCTAAGTTAACTAACAAAATTCTAAATAAAGTCGGGTCTGCAGTCAAAGCCAAAATTTTTAAGTGTACTCTTTTTTATTACTCGAGCTTTCGGAACAAATTTATTCCGCCCTCAGGAGAAACTATAATGGAATATACATTGATAACAACAACAAGTAATAATCTAATTTATACTTACAAAATTGAGATTTGAATCAAAAAATTTTTTAAGCAAGTTTAAAACAAAATCCATCTGAATCATCAGTCACAACAGTACGATACTTGAAAATCTATTGTTAAAAAC